CAAAAATTGAATAAAGTTTAGATTTGATTCCTTCAAGAAGGAAGATATTGCACACCTGCTCTGCTCTCTAGATTGCTGATATTTTTAGTCAGTTGGTAGTTTATGTATGTTTAAAAACTGCATATGAAGAGAGCATTCTAGGTTAGTCAGATGATTAATCATTGTAGAGAGATTTAGAAATAAGCCGAGTGTGTCGTGACCACACAGTTCAGCTGTTTTGCTTGGTAATATTAAAAGCTAATGATATGCCTGTCCCTTTCGCCATAATGGGTTACTCTTCCTTCCACATAGAATAAAAAAATCATGGAACTTTTTCCCTTGCCTCTTTGTAGCCTTTTGTATTTTGCAGGTTGGGAATTGCAAACATGTTTCTGTTCCTTTACCTGGTCATCAGCCTGGGCCTCTCTGCATCTGGTGTTGTGAGGGGAGAAGGTGAGGCTGATTCCAATGGAGACAGCCCACTTCAAGACATACAGAAAAAAGTGAATGACCTGTGGCAGAATTTACTCTACCCACAGTTCATCAATGAGACGACTAACCGGATAGGTTATGCCACTTGTGAAGTGAAGCCCAGCTCCAATCTAGATGCTGACAAGCCACAGGTGACAGGCCAAGTCTTGTTCAGACAGTCCTACCCAAATGGAAAACTAGAGGCTCTCTTTGACTTGAATGGGTTTCCATCAGGCAGCAATCAGTCTGGCAGAGCTATTCACATCCATAAGCTCGGAGACCTCAGCAACAGCTGTGACTCTACTGGGGGCCACTATAACCCTTTCAACGTGAACCACCCTCGCCATCCAGGGGATTTTGGCAACTTCTACTCTAAAGAAGGCAAAATTAGAAAATACAAGCCAAATCTGCTCGCCACTCTGTTTGGCCCCTACTCCATCATGGGGAGATCCATTGTGATCCATGAGCAGGAAGATGACATGGGCAAGGGTAACAATAAAGCCAGTTTGGAGAATGGAAACGCTGGCAGACGTCTAGCTTGCTGTGTCATTGGGATATGCAACAAGAATTTATGGGAGCAAAAGTTTCCTGACATTACAGAGAGGAGGAAGAAGAGGATCACAAATGAGCACAAAACAACCAGGCCTAACTAAAGACCAACATGCCATCTATTGCCTAGGCAGCACAGAATAGATATAGTCCATGTAATTGATCACTGAGACACATGGGAAAGGTTTCCTGTTTCCATTGAGTCTCTGTCTTGCTGCTCTCTAAGAAACGCATATTGCTCTATAGATGTTTTTCCCTGCCGTAAGCAGATTAATAAAAAACAGCATCAACTCAACTTTGCAACGTAGTTGTTTTTTTTTAAACTTAAAACTCCCATTTATTCAGCTCAAAAGTTTAGTGCAACATGGTAAGACTAGCAAAATATTTAGTTTATGAAATCTGGAAAAAGCTTGTCCATTCTAATGGATCTCTTGAGCGATCACAAGCTTAGGTACAAAGAAAAAGACAAATTAATGAAAAACTGCTTTTGGCTAAGATGCTCTGCAGTGTTTTCCTACATATCTGAAAAGTATAAAGATTTCTATAACTTCAACAGCTTTGTGTGGTAGCCTGGTAGAGCTAGATAATAGCCTTCTCCTCAGATTCAGGGAGAGTATAGACATTATTTCTATTTTTAACTTCTGATCCATTATACTATTCTACTTATATTTGGAGGTTTTATTCTCCAACATGTATAAGCTTAACTGGTTTGAGTTATCCATACACCGTAACCGAGTCACATTGTTTACATTTGAAAGTAGACTTACAAGAACTGTTCTGGCTTATTTTTTTTTTTAAATAGTAAGTAGCCTGGAAATTTTGGGGAGCTTACTACTAGATAACACATCAGGTAAAATTGTGTAATGCTGTTCACACAATATAGATACTGTATATATTTTTTAAATTAATGTATTTTGAAGGCAAGTGTACATAGTGTGATCTTCCATACCCACACAAATATAGGAAATTAGTCTGTTCAGATTGCAAGGAATAAGTGACAGTAGAAAAGACTTTCAATTTAGATTGTTTTATACAAACTGAAGAAAGTTATTGAATAAAATCTTTACATTCCTTGTTTTATAAAAAGTAAGTATGACCACAATTTAATACATGACCCACTGATAAAACACTAAGGTATAATTAACGTTCCTCCCATATTAATAAGGGAGAAGATAAAAGACAACAAATCTGGAAATTTGTCTTTATTCCAGGAGCCAAAATATATATATTTATATATAGTTGTCATGTTGCATGGTGTCTGTAGATTGCAACAAAGGAAAGGCTTGCAAATAAATAAAAGCTATATCTTTCTTTAAATAAAACTATAAAACAGCAACTGGTAAAAAAAATATCCCAATCTTTTAAAAATTAATCTCAGTTAAGATTCTAAAATACATTCCTGAGCTCATGTGGATTAAAGAAATTCTAATTTCTTTATTATACAAGTTACCCTATGCATAAAAATAGTCTCACTTAGAAAGGAAGCAGTGCTTTAAAAGAGGATTCTTAATCTGTCATTTTCACAAACTTACATTTTAAAGATTCGGTGAACACCTTTTCTGCAATAGGTTTAATTTTAAGGGTCTTGTGTCTTCTTTTTTCCATTTCTCCCAGGTAAGACATGTATTTGCTGCTGGGCTCCAGTACAAGTTCATTGTCTTTCAAAATGGTATAGAATAAGGGAAGTCATCTGGTCTGATTATGAAACAGCATTCTTAAAAATCAGTTTTTGAAATGTTGCATTTGAAGCTGCCACTCTGTCTCCCGCCCTCCCACATTAGTGATAAAGTTTATGGTTGGGTATGCCTGTCAGAGCATGGTTTAAAGTCCTACAGAGACAGCATGTAGGTCTCAACAGAGAAGGCCTGATTCTTCTCCCAGCTGGTGTAAATCAGAAGTAATTTCAGTAAAGGCAACAGTTATACTAGTGTAACAGCAGCACCAGTAAAAGGAAAATAACCCCCCCAACATTCAGAGTCAATTGTAATTTTATTGCAGCAAACAAATCTTACTTTAAGAGTGGTTTGGTGCGGTATTGAAGCTTCATCAGCCTGTAAAGGCTCAAGTCCCAAGGATGAAAGCTAAGAGCACAGCTGGGAGGATGCAGAGTCCCCTGGGTGGAAAAGGGCACAAACTACATTGCACTGGACTCCCTGTAGACAGGGCAATGATGTGGTACTGAAGTGAGGTCTGCAGAGAGCCTCCTAGCCAGAGTCTGTGCCAGCAAGTGGTTGCAAGGATACAGAAGAGGAATTTAGGTGGGGAGGAACGGGGAGAGATTAATCCATAGAAGGATCTAATTTACAGAAGGTTTTTCAAAGAGCAGCCTGCCAGCCATATCAGGACAGAAACAAGACAGTTTTATGTGCTAAAGATACTTGTCAGCCTGAGTCTGCTCTGACTTTACACCATTACCATAATGATTTCAGTGGGGTTACTCCTAATTTAATGACTGATCCAAAGCTTATAACAGTAGACAAGAAAAAGCCTCCCATTGACTTCAATGAGCTTTGCCTCAGGCCTCTACGCCAATGTAGGGGAGAGGAGAATCAAGCACACACATACCTTCAACATTTCAGAGTTAAGCTGTATATACAAACACTGACATTTAGAGATTAAAAAAAAAAAAAAAAATCAAAGCCAGCCTCAATTCTGGCTGCATTTTTATTCAGAACTTCACTAGCATTTAGCTTCAGAACGCCTCAGGCTGTGATGAAAGATGGAAAGGAACACACACCTTAGAATAAACATTACACGGAGAGTAATATTTTAAATATTACAAAACCCTGTAAAAATCTCTTCAATTATTTCAGTGCATGTCTATTTTTCTTCATGCTTGCCAGTGCTGTCATAAATAACTGAGTCAATAATGTAATCCATTATTTTTCCATTAATAGCAACAGTCCCTCTTGGTCTTTGGGTTTTGAGGAACATAAATATATCTGGGGCCAGGGAAGAAAGCTTAAACTTTTCAGTGTAGCATGCCCCCAAGGCATCTGAATTTGGAACAAAGTGGTTCAAAGGGGGCTGTTGTTGATACCAGTGTGATGCAATGCCACAGTCCCTTAAAGTAGAAAGGAAGCATTTTAGAGGAGTGATGCAAGTATTCCTTTATTGCCTGCACACAGCAACGAAAGAGCAGACAGACAGCAGAGAAAGGGTTACATGCATGCCCCTCTTAGGGGAATGCACAAAAACAAGAGGCAGGTCACATTTTTCAGCCTCCCATCACTCATTATATTCAGATGTAACCATTACATATATTCTTTCTTCTGCCAAGCACAAACTGTTAATGGAATCAAAACACCTTTGATTATGGCAGCACCTGCTAGTTCAGATCCATATAGAGACGAGTTTGTCAGTGCTGCTAATACAAGCCCTGTTTTTCAGTAGCTGACAAGTGGGCTGTAAAAATCTGCAGCTGGCAGATATTTGTCAAACAAAGGCTCAATCTGGGAGGGATTCTCCTTTTTATTAGTAGTAGTTTATTAAATTTGGTTTAATTCTCTCTGATTGGTTTCAAGTTCTAGGAGTGAGAAATGAACATTTACAGACAATTAGGTCCCAAGCCAGCAGAAAAATTGCCTCCACGGCTGCTAGCCCATAGAAGTTCCACAGCTGCAGAGACTGTTCCCTATTCTAAAAAGAGGAGAGGAAGTGCCTCCCCAGCTCTAACAGCTGTGAACTCCAACATTAAGTATTCTCTTGCCGCTGCCTTCCCGGGAGCAGAGTGGCACAACTCCATCACTAGAGAGCTGGGGACTTGCTCTGCATGCCCCCCAATCTAACACCAGAAGGTTTTTCTTGCTGACTACGTATCAGCTTGGGAAGAATTTTAAAAGGGCGACTGGGGCCCAAAGAATAACCCCACCACTATCCAAAAGACCGGTGAGCTAGGGGAGGAAAGAAAGAGTTATCTGCACTCCAGAGTCACATTTTTGTTTTATACCTAATAAAAGTGGAGATAGGCCTAGATCCACTTAGTCTCCCACCAGGGGCCACACAGGTGACTCCAGCCCAAGGGTAGGAACATAGTCCCATGACTTGGCACTAGCAGCACACAATAGGAAGCTGGCCTATGTACACACAAGTTCTCCTCCCCCTGGGCAGCTCTGCTATGCCCCCTAGGATGATTTTTTACTTCCTCGGGGAACTTTCCCTGTACTAGAGCAGCTTTAAGAGCTTCAGCTGGAATGGGGCCTTAATACTTTGTGACATAAGTCCCCTGTGTTTTCTTGGGGCGAGTGGAGGAAGGAAAACTTCAGAGGAATGTAGAGGAGATATGGAGGTTTAAGAGATGGAAACTGCATGTGCAGGGGCTACTTTTCAAAACCATTTTGCTTTTGAGTAGGGGTCAAATGCTGCTATTCTAAATATGCACTCACAGCAATATGCACAGAGAGAATGCAAGTTTGGAAAAATAAAAGCCTGTTACCTTTACATTCTTTTAGTTTATCATTTCAAATTTTCATCTGCTGAAAATAGCCATTTGAAACCCCTAAAATACACACCAGTAAGCATTGTGCATTGGACAAGAACATACATGCTATGGAGACCCAGCTAGGACTTGACATGATAAAGGATAATGGGGAGTCTCCTGGCCCCATTTTTTCTAAATTATGTCAGTCTCTCTAGAAACTTCAATCACTGTAAACACCAGAGCCATCATTAACCCTGGCCCCCATCATTTTCAAGTTCTATCCATTTTATATATTTACATTATTTTGGTTAAGCACAGTCAATGTTAATAGAAAAACATCTTTTTAATGGACAAATGCTGACAGACCAATGTAAAAAATCCAATTCTATGGCAGATTAATTTGGTGACTATCCGTATTCATGGCAGTACAGCTTCCACTGTAAGAGGATGAAAGGGAGAAGCTTGAGATCTTGGATTTCATACCACAAGCCATGCTGTTATCCAAATATTCAGAGCATTCAGAAGGATCAGATGATTTGTCACACTCAGGTTCAGGGGGATTACTGGAGATGTTGCTTAAGTCAGAGGTTGAAACAGTTAGTTCTCCACATCCTTCTGTGTCTTCAGCGTCCAGTGTGTTGCCATTTCCACCCTTTCTCTTACTTACATTTTCACATTCATTCTCTGAGATTTCCTCACGGTCTTTCAGGACCCAATTTTCAGCTGCATGCTCATTCTTGGAGTTTGATGGCTCCACAGGGTCAAATGGGTCAGGGCTGGATAAGGGGGACTCTTCCTTGGATGAGCTGCTAAGTTCGGATTGGTCCATTGTACTCCGGCCCTCCGGTAGACTTTCTGTTCTGCTCCCTTCCAGTTCTGCAGCTGCCTGTTCTTCTGTCAATTTAATTATTTTACTTCCAAGACTGTTTATTTCTTCCTCCTCAGAAGGAAACTTGGGTAATGAGGGATGAAAAGGCTTAGTTTGGTTACTATTATTTATGTTTGCTTGGGAATTGTCGTAGACCGTAGCAGCTTCCTCTGGAACTGTCAACTCTGTTGAAACAGCATAAATTTCATCTTGTTTTCCATTCTGTTTTGCTAAGAGAGAAATGGGACAGCGTCATACTAGTGTACGTTATATGAATTTATATGCATGGGGCATTGACCAAGAAAGCCATGCAGAAGATGATCTAGCTAGTGAAATACCAGTGCCCCACCACGATGGTAAAAGATTGATCAGAGCACAAATTAACTATCCCATTCTGGACTCACTTCAAAGAACAGAACCAATCAGAACAGTGGGAAGTTCTTACTGGATAGGGTCTAGTTATTTCAGAGATAGCCTCTCTTACATAACTCTGACAGCTGTGATAAAGAGGGACATTATAGCTGATGGAGCCTAGGACAAAACTTTCAAGGAAGATCTTTTTCTGCGTAAGGCCCAGGGTTGTAGAATTTCCGGCCACAAGAGATCAGTAATAGGCCAAGACAATGCCACTTTTAGGCGTTAAGATCCATTTCTCTTTCCATAAGCCTTTTTCCAATAATGAAGTTATACAATTAACCCTACAACATTTTACCTGAATAACATGCTTTGATAGCAGCCTAAGACAAGGCAGGGGCAGAAAAAAAAAAAATATTCCTTCTCTCTCTCTCTCAATATATTTTTTTAAACATTTTAAGTGTATCATTACAACAAAATCCAAACACTGAATATAACTATACAAAAACAATTCAGAAAGAACGGATTATGCAATTAAAGACCGCATCATAGTGCATCTGCACAAGGGGGCCAAACTAGGTTGCACCACAGAGGCCTCTGTTACTTGAGCTAACAGAGTAACTGACAGCAGTGGTAGATTGTCATCCTCACTGTGGACTACTAGAGGGGGATGTGTTTTGCAAGTGTTTGCTTGCAGTAGAGGAGTGGTGATCTTTGTTCTCAGAAACAGCTAAACTGTTTTGGCTGAAATTTAATAAACAAACAAAAAACCCTAAAAAACAATTCCGGCTGAGACAGACACCCAGCATGGAAAATTTCAACCCAAATGGCTGGAGTTCAGCAAGGTTACATGTAAGTGAATGCAGTGTCTTATAATGGGAAATGTTGCGCAACCTTAATAGTAGGCAGTGCTACCAGCCCTGCACACAATGATAAACAACAAGGCAAAGTCAATATAACGATATCAACTAAACACTTTCAGAGAGTGAAGATTTAATTAGAACCAATGATTATTTAAAATGAAAATTAATATTTGTAAGTTACATATATATTCAATGAAGGCGTGGTTAAATGATTTAATTTTCTATTTTTAGCACAGTAAAAATCAGTTGATCAAGACTAAAAGTGATCAATTGCTGTCAATCATCTGATAACATGGATAATAAAGTCAAAATGAAGCCATGATCTATTTAATTTGAGGAATTAATATCAAAAGCATTTACAATGCTTCATGGCTGACTGAATAAGATCTGGGCATGCCAAAAATTTTATAGCCATTAAATAGCTTATCCAAATGCTGATAGGCAAGTCTCAAAATCTATTCCTTGTCCACCAAGAAAAACTAAAGAAAAGTCGTGTTTTCATTAAAATATTAGCCTGCTCTTAGTATCAAATAGAGCTGAGCTGGACTTTTAAGGAAAGATCTTAGAGCCTGTGATTGGGAAAGGATTTTAACAAAATGCATGCATGAATATAAAAGAAGAATCAATTGCTCAACAGCAGGGGTTTATTTCAATTTGCCAGGCACAATCAGGAAGCCTTTCATCTGTAGATCAGGTCTAATGCAGGAGAGTGCTAAGCTTGTTCCATAGTCTGCTTTCCTACCATGCACTGTAAAGGGGGGAGGGGAGGAGAACAGGAGGGAGCCAGCTTTACACAGGTACAATGTGTTGCTTTCCTATGGCATACAGCTATGTTGCAAAATTCCTTTGAGCTGCTAAAACCTGGCCTCTAGCACTGTGCAAGTCACTATACAGTCATTTATCAGTCCCTCCATGCCTGTTCAAACTGTGATGATCCCCCACTTTGGTTGTGATTGATTTACTTAATCTTTGTGATCACAGAATCTTTACCTTCTGCTATACTGGCATGAAACCTTGGCTTTTACTTTTACTGTATTTGATAAGACGTGTAGTGTCGACCCATCTCTGTCCTACATGCTCACCTTCATGCCTCTGTGCTTGATTCTGTTGTGGCTTGTCAGCAAATGTTAGCAATGGCGATCTTGACCTCTGTAGAACAGGCAGGGTTGGGTCACTGAATGTTATGGTATCTTTTCCACCTGAAATGAAGAAAGCATTGGAAAGATTCAGTAGCTGATTGTAATGAGTGATCACCAAAGAGTTTGGTTTTGTTTAAAAACATCTTGCAGTTTAACTAGTTTTTTCTGCCCTTACAAAAAGAAGTAGAGTGATATGTAAAGTAGCTCTTAAAATGATTTTTTCTGCAGAACAAAGTACCAATGTACTGCAGCTGAAGTGCACTAGCCAAATACAAAAAGCAGACACTCATTTCTACCAACACTACTGGTTAAAGGGCAGTTCTCTAATTTGCTGAAAGACTACCAGCTGCTGCTGTATTCTGCTATAATCAGATCATATTAGAAGTGATGCAGAAAGTATTATTTTTAGATTAAAGCGTTACACTAATGCAGAGATCATTTACATCTAGACTCTAGGAGCACACCACGCCAACAAACATTTCACTCTGTCCTTTTACCCTCTACATTCAGCTTTCATTGCTGACCCTCAATATTACAAATGCAATTTTGTACCCTATTTTTTATATAAATTGTATCCCCAAAGGCTTATAGTATTAGAATAAATTATGAGATAGGCAGTAAACACAAACAGTAATATTGCAAGAAAAAGGAGGGCTTGGGGATTTTAATCCATGGACCAAAATCCATTTCTAAGGGGTCTGGTTCCATGTCAGACCAAAAGGGTGTAATTTCCCAGTTCCACTATGGATATAATTTTGCGAGTTTCTGTGAGGCCTATAGAACACTCCCAGCTAATAAATAAGGTCTCAATAGATGTTCTGCTCAGACTATTGCTACTGCTCCGCTTGTCTTCATTAAACAAATAAGATGACATGTTTGTATTACCAAATTTGTTTGAGTATACTCTGCATGTTGTCTTACATCAGTGTCAAAAGCTATGATTTTAAAGAGGGACTAGTGATTTTGGGGTCCTCAATTTTTGGGTGTCCAGTCTGTAAACACCTTAAGGAGTCTGCTATTCAGGAAGTTCTGAGGACCCTCCCTTTAATCAGGTCCCTTACTTCAGATGTCAAGTTGGGATTCCAAAATCTCTAGTCATTTTTGAAAAATTTGGCTGTAACCATGCTTCCACGTCTGTTCAGTGTCTAACACAATGGAGATCTGACCTTGCTGGGGTCTGTGTGTTACAGTAAAACACATAAAATAATAATGCTGGAGAAGTTTTGACCGGATCAAGATCAGAATTCCAACTTAAACAATTTGCATTTTAACTCTGCGTCTTCTATAGCAAATAATAAAATTATGGAGTTAGATAGCCGAGTGAGAAAAACTATAATGTAAAGGAAAAGGGACAAGTTTTCAGCTGAAAATTGAAGGTGGGCAGCTGATGAGGCAGAACAAACCTAAGGGCTGTTCCAAATGGCACAAGCTGAAGGGGGAAAGGCTTTTCTCTACAACAGTGGTAAGACTGCATGGAGAGATGGGCAGGGCTAGATGAACAGAGGTGGTTGGGAGTAATGACATGAAAGGTTTATGACACAGGATGGAGCAAGGCTGTGGAGATATTTAAAAAAACAGAAATGTCTCTTCCTAGACAGAATGGGAGCCAGCGGAGTTGTTTATTCTGAGCACCTTGCACGGCATGTCAGATTCAGAAAAGTAAAGCCTAAGCTGGGATGCTTGTGGCTTCCAGTACAAACACCAACACAGTTTGACTTCCAACCAGCTGTTACCCAGTAAACACATTCACTTTTATAACTTTCGCCATCCCCTTTGAAGCCAACTGGTTCCACAAAGTAGTCAGTTCATCATCATCATCTAAGCAATACTGTCTGACCTGCCTAAAGAGTCTTATTAATATATAAGGCTACCTTTTAGACACAGGTATTTTCAGTCACAGGCCATAAACAATAAAGTTTCGGTCACAGGCCATAAACAAAAATTCACAGGCCCATGACCGGTCCATGACTTTTACTAAAAATACCTGCCCTAAGTAAAACTTGGGTTGGGTTGCTCTGGGGTGTGCACGCCCCAGGGGCGCCACGGGTGCTGGGGGAGGTGATCCGGGAACCCCGCTTGTACTGGGGGAGGGGAGAGTCTGGTGGAGGCTTACTACCCGGCTCCACGTCCCTGCAGCTCCTAGGCAGCGGAGACAGGGGCCCAGGCAGGAGCTCCTCTGCTGCTCCCGCCACAAACGCCGGATGCTGCCGGTCCCATTGTCCAGGAACCACAGCCAATGGGAGCTGCAGGGGCGGGGCCTGTGGGTGCCAGCAGTGCGCAGCATGCAGACCACCTCCCCTCCCCACGCTCCTCTATCGCCTAGGAGCTGCAGGGGGGCCCCACCCCAGGTAATCGCACCCCCCCCCGCATCCTCCAAACCCTTGCCCCTAGCCCTAAGCCCCCTCCCACACATCCAAACTGCTGCTGCTGGCCCAGGAAGCCATGACTTCCGTGACAGACTTGCAGCCTTATTCATACATCATAACAGTGATTCACATCCTTTTAAGTGGGAGGTTTGAATACTGCTGCCCCATATTCTGTGAAGCATGGTATGAGTGGGGCTATCAAATGTAATTTTGATTGAGTGCTTGGAACTAGCTCACTTCTGTATGTTATTCTTCTCCACATATAGCTGCTGGAAGGCACATCCTCAATTTAGGGAGCTTTCGGGGGGATTTCTGGTTAAAAATGTACAGGGCTGAAAATAAGCAGGCAAACAAGAGAGCTATACATGACAACGTAAGCTTGTTTCCTCCCTTCTTTAGAGGAATACGCTGTTCTCAAATGGAGTCTTGTAAATTCCGTCAAGTTTTCACCTCCCTTTAAATATCCGCTCAAAGAAGGTCAAACCTAACTGCCTCAGAACTAAATACATCATTCCCTCTGGAGATAGGCCAGTTGAGGAGTTGCATGTTTTAAGTGGGTGGCTGCTGAGTAACAAAAGCCATCTGCAGCATTTCCTGTGATCATACAAAGAAAAGCAAGAGAACTGTTCTTGGACTCAACTTAATGCTTTTGCGCTGGGAATTGGTTGTTGAGAGCACAATAGCTTATAAACCAATTGCTGATGTAAAGTGTCCAATTACACCAAAGTCTAAGAAGTGGGGTGACATACACATTTCTAATGCAACAATCACCGTAGTATCTAGGCAACCAATAAAAGATTGAAATGCTACCAGGATACTGAAACCCCATCTTTGCTCCACCCTCAGCAGAGACAAACTTATGTAAATGAGATCAGAACAAATCCACGCCCAAGACCTCTCCCAACACAACCATGCTCTCTCGTGACAGGTTGAGTTTCGCTGAACAATGAAACCATCAGCCAGTAAGGGAGATTCCTAAATGTGAAAGAGAAATTTTGCAGGATTGAGACCCACTCTATGGAACTCACCCCTGACAAAAGGTGACAACTGCGGACCTCACCACTTTCAAACACAAAATTCATTTATTTGATTTCGCTTACCCAGTTTTTCCCCCCTATATGCAAGCCTACAAACAAAAACCAACCAACTAAAGAACCTACAAACTATCAAACCATTTCTCCTACAGGCTGGCAAAGAATGAATGTTAAGGCTATTTCTATTTGTAAATAGGTGGCATGGTGCTGGGATAAGTAAATAGTCTATTGCTGGCGATGTTTAGGTAGCAATACTCATTCTGCTTTTAGGAACCTGAAATGTATTAAACTAGAATGATGTGTCTGTTTCACAAGTATGATTGAAAGTCAGCTCTCACTGGCAAGTCTTTCCAATGACAAAAAGTTCAACTCACTGTAAATCAAGTGATGTTTTCTTCTGAAAATCTTTCTTCTAGCATCAATCAGAGCAGGTGCTCTCACCTTTAACTCAAGCCAACATTCTTATGATAGTTCTCACAATACTGATATGAGATGGTATTTTACAGAGCAGAGGCCAGTTTGTAACCACCTGAAAAAGTTTTCGTGATCCCACTGGGTGTCACAAGACTCATATTTGGTATCTCTGAGCTCAATCACACTTGGAAACAAAAGTGCATTCTTAATTTACTGCTTCTCTGGTTAAACAAAGAAATAAACCTCACTGTTTGATACAAGTCGCAATCTAGTGTAAAATTCAGTTACAACTATTGAGCATCATCCTTTATTATCATTTTTCCCAATTTAAAAGAACTGTCTTGTGCAGTAGTCTCTATTTCCCTTGTGGACATCTAACTCACTCACTTGAACATCTTAATCTGACAAACATAAAAATGTTTAGATAACATTTCCATTTATTTACATGCTGTGACAATGTTTAACGTACTGCTAAAATTAGTTACTAAAAATATACATGTGAAGTAGAACCTACTCCCAAATCCCACTGAGACATTGTAGCTCAGGCCTTCAGGCAGCAAAAGAAAGGAAGAAAAGAGACAGTTATTGTATTAATATTAATTGGATGTCTTACCTAACTAGATTAACAATGGAGCAAGCTCTCAGCATTCCATTTATTCTATTTTTTATTTATTTTTTATACATTTCTGCAAAGACCAAACATTGCATTTATTAACTATGAATTTCACTGAACAACATTTTTTAAACAAAGTAGAATGCCAATATGTTAAATACCCATTAAATTTCAATTAGAATGTAAACCTATATTAGCGTGACTCAAGATAATTATTTTATCTGCATCTTGCATCAAGAGGATTTGAGTTAAAACTAACATCAGAAGTGGAACTGGAGAGATTTGTCACTAGGACTCTTCAGATACATTGCTAAATATTAGCTGTTTTTTGGTGAGCTTAGACCTAAATGATATAGGTTAGAACACCTAGAACCTTGTCTACACTAGTGTAGGTACCTCTAATGGTAGCAGCAGTGGGAAATTGTTACCACAAACATAACCTAGTGGTGTGAACATCAAGGAGAAAGATGATTAAAGGAGAAACAATTAGGTGTAATGAGAGAAAAATAACCAAAAATGAATGCAATCGAACAATGCACATTTAACTAAAATTAATAAATAAAACGTGTTGAAAAAAAACCTGGCTCTAATATCTTAAGTTGTATGATTTTATACTAACATTTAAATCAGATCGTTAATATTTTTCAGCTACAACCCATAGTGATAGTTCGATTGTTTCTTGCATTCGCCAAAGGGTATTTTTTCTGCTATCTACTATATTTGGATTTAAAATGTGTGTAAAACCAGCATTTTCACAAGTGACTAGTGATTTTGGGTTTCCAACTTGACACACCTTAAGCTGGATTTTCCCAAAAAGTGCTGAACATCCATCTTTTCAAAACCACTAGCCACTGAAACTTGGCTATATTTTTAACAAGTTTCTCACAAAAATTGTACATTGAAATCCTAATATGGAAACAGACACCCAAACACTTAACAATACAAGGGATCTCACAAAACTGGGTGATGGGCCAATAAAATGGCAGATAAAATTAAACGCTGATAAATGCAAAGTAATGCACATTGGAAAACAATCCCAACTATACATACAAAATGATGGAGTCTAAATTGATATCACTCAAAAAAAAAAAAAAGATCTTGGAGTCATCATGCACAGTTCTCTGAAAACACCTGCTCAATGTTCAGTGGCAGGCAAAAAAAAGAAAAGGGTCACCAAATGTTTGGAACCATTAGAAAAGGGATAGATAAGACAGAAAATATCAATGCATATATATAAATCCATGGTACACCCACACCTTGAATACTGCATAGAGTTCTGGTTGCCCCAGCTCTAAAGAGAGATATTAGAACTGAAAAAAGTACAGAGAAAGGCAACAAATATGATTAGGGGGATGGAACAGCTTTCCAGAGGAAAGATTAAAAAGACTGAGACTGGTCAGCTTAGAAAAGAGACTACTATGAGGTATGATAGAGGTCTATAAAAATCACAGATGGCATGGAGAAAGTAAATAAAGTTATTTGCCCCTTTCACGTAACAGAAGAAGCAAGGGTAACTCAATGAAATCAATAAGTAGCAGGTTTAAAATCAACAAAAGGAAGTACTTCTTCACACAACACACAGTTAACTTGCGGAACTCATTGACAGGGGATGGGTTCAAAAAAAGAATTAGATAAGTTCATGGAGGTTAGGTCCATCAATGGCTATTAGCCAAGATGGTCAGGGATCAGGGCCGGCTTTAAGCTGATTCGGCCGATTCCCCGGAATGGGGCCCTGCGCCTAAGAGGGCCCCGCAACGTCTGGGGCTGCCAGCGGAGCGGAAAAAAAAAAAAAAAAAAAAGCCGCGTCCTGCTTCTCCCCCCTCCCTCCACCGCTTGTGCCGCCATACAGCTGATCAGCACAAGCCTGGGAGGGACGGGTGAGGAATGCGACGTGCTGGGGAAGAGGCGGGGCCAGGGCGGGGATTTGGGGAGGGATCCAATGGGGCAGTGAGGGGGCAGGGCGGGGATTTGGGGAGGGATCCAATGGGGCAGGGAGGGGGCGGGGGGGGGCACGAGACTATTCGCGTCCCGGCGTGGGGCCCTGCACATGCTAAAGCCGGCCCTGTCAGGGATGCAACCCCATGCTCTGGGTATCCCCAGCCCTCTGACTGCCAGAAGTTGGGACTGGACAACCGGGAATGGATCACTCAATAATCGCCAGTTTCTGTTCATTCCCTCTGAAGGATCTGACATTGACCATTGAAGGAAGACATGATACTGGGCTAAAGGGACCATTGGTCTGACCCAGAATGGCCATTCTTATGTTTTTCTGAATTTCTACTAACCTGGAAGACTCCACAAACCAGAAATTTCCAAAGTTCTCAGCTTCTTCTCTAATTCTGCCACCCGATTACCTAGAATTCTGAAAAAAGAACATGACATATCAGCTGAGAAAGAGAAGACTCATTGTCACAGGGATTTAATTCCACCCATAGATGTTTGCATGGTTGTGGATACATTCTCCACAGTCACAGCACATACATATTAACTTGTTTATCTTTTGTTTCACTAACAGTGATGGGCAAACCCCCCAAAAGTTCAGATTAAACAATATTTGGATGCTTACCTGAGCCTCTCCCAAAACAGAAGTCCCAAATAAATTTCCAGTATATCTTAGATTTACTATGAAAGAAATACTGTAGGAATAGCCCCTATGGTATTTCTATTCCCTTCCTTGGCTGAAACCAGGAGGTAGAGCGGTATGCAAACATCATCTTTGAACCTCAAAATAAGATTTGAATTTTGCAAGCTATTAGCCTTAGCTTTGGGCCAGTTACTTTATCCAATCTGGTTTGCCCATCAAGCTTTAATATTCCTTTGTAGCACAGCAAATGCTGTTTGATTCCACTGATCAGGGTCTCACTTCAGTACTAAGCAGTCTCAAGTTCTTTACAGACCTTATCAACTGCTCTTAATTTTGACTGCATTTCCTGGGTCGCCAAGGCTTTTGTTTCTGATCCCTATGTAAATACCATCCTCAGCTGTCCAGCAAGATTTACCTTTTAGCCATAATTTCCCCCCCAAAATCAGATGATATTTTGTATCTAACAAGAAAGGTTCCATTTTGTTGTAAGTTTTGAAAGTGTTTCACTTCTAGAACAAGTCTCTAAAAAACAGAAGGCCTTATCTAAATCCCAAACAACATTCAATGGAAGGGAGATACCTAAGGTATGTCTACGATTGGAGGTGGGGGAGTAATTCCCAGCTCGAGGAAACATACTTACACTAGCTCTAATTGAGCTAGCAAGCTAAATATAGAGCGTGACTATGGCAGGGCAAGCTGCGGAAGGGGCTAGCCGCCCTGAATACATGCCAATCAGATACTCTAGGCATGTTGTCGGAGTACCTAGCCTCTCCCACTGCTTGGGACACTACTTTTAGCACATTAGTTAATTAGAGCTAGCACATGTATGTCTCTGCGAGCTGGAAATCACACCTCAGCTCCAAGTGTAGATACACCCCAGAAGAGACAGCAATGCTAAAAGTGACCTAGCAGAGATAATGGACAGCAAATTATATACGACTTTACATGAAGGTATAGCAACAGGAAAAGACAATGAAGTTTTGGACTGAATACTCAGACAGCACATCAAAAACCACTGAAGCAACAGTCTCTGTATACAGCTCTGGTGGGGATGGAATACTGTGCTCAGTCCACCTAACCAGGTTTTTATGCCTCTCCCATTTGAGCACACCCGGCACCTGGTTACCAGAAAAAAAAAACCTAGAAACTGGAAAGAATATGAAACACAGCAACAAAAATTAAGGGGCTAGAGAGACTGATGAAAGAAAGATTAAAAGAGGCTAAATATCTGTAGCCTAGCAAAGCATCTACCATGAGGTGTGTGCAAGGCACAGGATAAAAGTCTATCAGTATTTCAGTAGTGTAAATACTAAGGTGGGAGAGGAGAGTAATACAAGAAAAAGGGAATGAAATGAAGAAAAAAAAAAGGAAAATTTATGATAAATATCAGGGACAGGAGTGAAGTGAATGGGGACGGGGAATAGCCTATGGGTAGTAATACAAGCCCATCAACTGAGATACTTAGCCCCAAAGGGGGTGTCTACACTAGAATAAAACACCCACAGCTGGCCTGGGTCAGCTGACTTGGGCTCACGGGGCTCAGGCTGCAATGCTATAGAATTACAGTGTAAACAAATTGGGCCTTGGGCTGTCTATACTGCTATTTTATAGCCCTGCAGCCTGAGTCAGCCGACGGGCCAGCCACGTGTATTTTATTGCAGTATAGACATACCAAGAGTGACAAAACATTAGGTCATGTGCCAGTGGGAGCATTCATGCTCTGGCATAGGCACACACTCAGTGACCAAACTGTTTTCTCATCTCTAACTTCAATGAAAACTGAGCCAATCAGCATTTTTATTTTATACATTTCCTTCCTAGTTAACTTTGAGACTTTAAAGACTAACAAATTTATTTGAGCATAAGCTTTCGTGGGCTACAGCCCACTTCTTCGGATGCATAGAATGGAACATATATTGAGGAGATATATACACAGGTACAGAGAGCATGAAAAGGTGGGCGTTGTCTTACCTACTCTGAGAGGCCAATTAAGTAAGAGAAAAAAACTTTTGAAGTGATAATCAAGATAGCCCGCACTCTATCTTGATTATAACTTCAAAAGTTTTTTTTCTCTTACTTAATTGGCCTCTCAGAGTAGGTAAGACAACGCTCACCTTTTCATGCTCTCTGTACGTGTGTATATATCTCCTCAATATATGTTCCATTTTATGCATCCGAAGAAGTGGGCTGTAGCCCACGAAAGCTTATGCTCAAATAAATTTGTTAGTCTCTAAGGTGCCACAAGTACTCCTGTTCTTTTTGCGGATACAGACTAACACGGCTGCTACTCTGAAACTTTGAGACTCACTCTTAATGACCTTGGCTTTACTTCTCCCTGGGTGCCCAGTGATCATAGGCGCCGACTCCGTGGGTGCTCCGGGGCAGGAAGCACTGGAAGCCAAGCTCCCCGCCCTGCCCCCTTGTCCCAGCTCACCTCCGCCTCCGCTTCCTCCCCTGAGCACGCCACGTCCCCGCTTCTCCCCCTAGTTCCCAGCGCTTACTGCCGCAAAACAACTGTTTTGTGGCGGCAAGCGCTGGGAGGGAGGGGGGAAGAGGGGGAATGCGGTGCGCTCAGGGAAGAGGTGGGGCCGGGGCGGGGATTGGGGAAGGAGTCCAATGGGGCAGGGAGGGGGTGGAGACTTTGGAGAAGGGGTTGGAATGGGGGCAGGGCAGGGGCAGAGTCAGGGGGGCAGGGTCAATGGGGGGGGGGGCGGAAGTCGAGCATCTGCCTGAAGGGGATAAAGCAGCCCTGGAGAAGGCTGCAGCAGGGAAAGCTAAGCTGATTGGGAAAGCAGCCACAGCTGTGGTGAGCTTAATCAGGGCCCAGCTGGCCCTTATAAGAAGGCTGTGGGCCAGAAGCTAAAAAAACAGACACACTCTCTCTAGCTCCCTAGAGAGAGAAGGACCTGGCTGCCTGGGAAGCTGAGGAGGGTACCTAGGGTGGAGCAGTGCTGGGGAAGGGCAGAGGGAACTGGGGAGCTCCAGCCTAGCAAAGCCCCAGGCCGGGTTAATGGCCCACAAAGGGTACTGGTGCTGCAGAGGGGCAGCCCAGAGATAGGCAGAGGCAGCTGGTCCAACCCCCCTTGACGATGATGAGTGGTTTACAAACTGCCGTCTGCCCCAGGGAGCAGGGGTTAGATGATGACTGGCAGTAGCCACTGAGGCAAGATGGGGATAGGGGCTTGGGGGTTTCCCTGGGAGGGGAGACCCAAAGTGAAGGGGTGCGGTGGGCAGAACCCCTGAGCAAAGGGCACCGGGGTCTGGGAGGGACACGGGGGGCCAGCGGCAGGCGAGACATCAGCCGGCCTGCAGAGGGCGCTCTGGAGGCTGGAGTGCTAATACCCTGGACAACCAGCAGGAGTTGTCACCCCGCCACAAGGCTCCTTTGTAACGCTTCACTGTCTGCCTTGGACTTAACTATCAAGTAATTTTGTATATTCTGCAAATTTTGCCATCTCACTGTTTACCCCTTTTTCCAGATCATTTATGAATATGTTTAACAGCACAGATCTCTGAGGGGGACTGCTATTTACCTCTCTCTACTCTGAAAACTGACCATTTATTCCTATCCTTAGTTTCCTTCCTTTTAATCAATTACTGATCCCAGAGAGGACCTTCTCTCTTATCCCATGGCTGCTTATTTTGCTTAAGAGCCTTTGGTGAGGGACCTCTCAAAGGCTTTCTGAAAGTCCAAGTATATCCATTGGTCCACCCTTGTCCACATGCTTGTTGACTCTCTCAAATAATTCTAAAAGATTGGTGAGGCATGATTTCCCTTTACATAAAGCCATGCTGACTCTTCCCCAACAAATTGTGTTCATCTATGTGTCTGATAATTCTGTTCTTTACTATTGTCAGGGTTCCTTCCCCACTCTGAACTTTAGGGTACAGATGTAGGGACCTGCATGAAAACCTCTAAGCTTCTCTACCAGCTTAGATCTGCTTTTGCTGCCACCACTCCCAATGTGCTAATTCCCTTCCCTGGGTAGCCTTGAGAGACTTCTTCACCAATTTCCTGGTGAACACCGATCCAAACCCTTGGATCTTAACACAAGGAGAATTTAACCATCCCTCTCCTTTCCCCCACCAGTTCCTGGTGAGTCCAGATCCAACCCCTTGGATCTTAAAAGAAGGAAAAATCAATCAGGTTTTTAAAAAGAAGGCTTTTAATTAAAGAAAAGGTAAAAATCATCTCTGTAAAATCAGGATGAAAAGTAACTTTACAGGGTAATCAAATTCAAGGAGCCCAGAGGAACACCCTCTAGCCTTAAGTTCAAAGTTACAGCAAACAGAGATAAACACTCTAGCAAAAGGAACATTTACAAGTTGAGAAAACAAAGATAAAACTAACACGCCTTGCCTGGCTGTTACTTACAAGTTTGAAATATGAGAGACTTGTTCAGAAAGATTTGGAGAGCATGGATTGATGTCTGGTCCCTCTTAGTCCCAAGAGCGAACAACCCCCAAAACAAAGAGCACAAACAAAAGCCTTCCCCCCACCAAGATTTGAAAGTATCTTGTCCCCTTATTGGTCCTTTGGGTCAGGTGTTAGCCAGGTTACCTGAGCTTTTTAACCCTTTACAGGTAAAAGGATTTTGGCGTCTCTGGCCAGGAGGGATTATAGTATTGTACACAGGAGGGCTGTTACCCTTCCCTTTTAGTTATGACAACTGTAGTTTCAACCAGTTTGTCTGGTACTGAAGTTAGGCTTACTGGCCTGTAATTGCCAGGATTGCCTCTGGAGACTTTTTAAAAATTGGTGTCACATTAGCTACCCT